TCCCTTGGCACCACAAAAAAAAATGAGAGTCATAATTGTAATCAGGATGGTAAATAACCCTTGTGTACATATTTTCAGCGGGTTTGGCGACTTAGGTAATTTAAAAATGAGCTCGGTGCCGAAGTTGCTGGAGTCCAAACGGCATTAGCCCCGATTCCGCGAAACCGGAAGAAACGCGCAAAGAGCGGGTTTCAAAAAAAATCAATTTTTACTATTCATTCGCTGACTCTTCTACTTCCGCGCATTCTGCGGCACGACCTGGGTTAGGGCAGCACCTGTCCACCAGACATCAATTACATTCTTAGCGTGGGGTCCAAAACGAAAGACCTTCCCCACGGGAAGTAAGCCACGTCTATCGCTTTTTTGTTCGTTGCAGGCAGCGTTTTTTTACTTAGTTGTCCAGCGCAGACATTCAGAATTTTTCGACGCCTTTGGTAGTCATCCATTTACAACAGTTTTTATTTATTTCAATTATTACTACACCAGTATTCTGAATCAGGCAAGCTTTTTTAACCTATTCTTCTCTAAAGGATAAATGGTGCAGTGACAGGCGCGGTCCTGGGATTCGAACCCAGGACCGCGGACCCGTGTTTGAATCCCGGGTCGACACCCGCCCAGGCCAACCAAGCCTTCTACCCTCCGGGGACGGTAAATTGGTACCAGACGTCTGGGAGGATAAAACACTGACTTGTACATCGGCTGGCCACCGCAAGTCATTGTATAGGCCACATCGCATTCAATAAGCCACTACGATTCTGAATGGAAGTAGAATGCGTGCCGCATCCCACAAAGGGATTGATTAACGGCGAAGACTTTATCCTTTTATTCTTTTCTAAGAGGGTAGATTTGGCTATAAACTTTCCCAGGGGTAGTTCCACCTCCTGGACACGAATATCACACCGCTTGGCAGAAACTGCCTGGCGATAAAATGGTCGAGTCATCATTCGCTGAAAACTTGTCCCCAAGGGTGGTTTGACCTCCTGAACATGAATATCACATCCGCTCAGCCCGAAATCGCCGGGCGCCCGTGCCCCACGCGCCGACGCCAAAATACCCTCGATCAGGTCCAGTCTTTGCAGAGCGCTAAACCAAGAAGTGAATGTTATATTCGTGATCAGGGCATCAAACAACCCCATTATACAAGCTTTCATCCATTCATGAAGAAGTGTACGGCGCCGAACTAGTGCCCAATGGCACCAGCGTCAAAAACGAATGTCGCATTTGTGACAAGGGTATCAAATGACTCGTTGTTGAGCTGTTTCAGCAGAATTTTTCGGGTTTGTGGGGTAGTAATAGTTGAGCAGTACCCATCATTCTCTGCTGTTGTACATAGATTTTTGGACATGAGCACGATGACGAATTTCAAGGTGAAATCCAACTAGATCAAAGATAGGCTAATACTTACCACAGAGCGTCAGATAACGAGCCAACAAGCGCGACTTGCCGCAGAACTTGATTACGCTGTAGCTGAGGTCCCGCGCAGAACACCTTGCATTTCACTTAGAATGACGGCATTTTGCACCAGTGACATGGAACTTGGGTGTTTGCCAGAGACAGTGTTTGCCAGAGACAGTCGTCGAGAACATTCGTCGGGGAACCTCGGTCAGCGAATAAAAATTCTTATTTTATCCTCGCGCATTTACTTCATTGTTTTGTTTTGCAACCGTATCCGCTGTGGTTGTATGAGTAAGTGCGTTTCCCGTTCCGTGGTCGCCAAGTATTGTTGGGATTCCATTTGTATTCGTTTCTTCATTCTTCGTTTTTAGGAGGGTGATGTTTGCACCTCCGTTCCCTCCAGCAAGTGGAGGGCCACCTCAAGGACAGCCAGGCGCTCCGTTTCCCCCACAAAATGTTAACGCGCAAAGTGGTAGTTCTTGAACATATTTGTTTTCATCGGTATTATTGGCACATGTTGTTACTACATGAACCAAATCCTGTTTCAGCACAGTTTGGTGGCTATCCGAAGTCAACATACGATCAGTCGCAAGGATACAATAACACTCAGCAGCCAGGAAACTTGGTGAATCATGCACAACAGTCTTACCCTCAAGCGAAACCGTTTCCTCCAGGCCCTCCTGCACCTCTGTCTCAACAACCTGGTGGACATCCAACTATGAATGGTATTCCTGGAGCGGGAGCACACTCTCAACCTCAATATAATCATCAAGCTCCAGCCAATGGCTTTGCCCAACACTCGACTGCTAACTTTCAAGGCCAACAACAAGCTGCTTCAACAACTTCTCAATCAAACGGGCCCGTACCACAAACGTCAGTCCAGTCTCGCCCTGCGCCTTTCCCGCCACAACCGATGCAGTCGTTCCCAAGTTCAAATCAAGCTTCACAACCATCTTATGGCATAGGAGCACAGCAGAGTCACTCATCTCCTGGTTACCCACAACCGAACGCGTTTCAGTCACCCCAAGCTCCTCAGCAGCAAGCAGCAGGTCCTCAGCAAACTCCTAGTGGAGCTTTTCCTCCGAATATTCCTTCTTCCACAAGTAGCCACGGCCCTACAGGTTTTCCTGGTGCAGGAGGAGTTCCACCACAGAACGCTGGGTTTGCTGCTCCAGGTCCAGGTGTGTATTATAACTTTTACTGACAAATCTTCACGATTTTTTTACTTATCGTTTGCAGCTATGAGCAATCAGTCTCATTTCGGAGGTGGTCCTCCTAGTATGCCTGGAAGTGGTCCTCGTGGTGTACCCGGGACAGCACCACCTGGTATGCCCGGTGTTGGTCCTCCTGGTATGCCCGGTATGGGTCATCCAGGTATGCCTAGTTCCGGGCATCCAGGTATGCCAACTGCCGGTCCTGGTATGCCGGGTGCGGGTCCTCCTGGTATGCCAGGTGGTCCTCCTGGTATGTCAGGTATGCCAGGTGGTCCTCCTGGTATGCCTAGTATGCCAGGTGCTGCACCTCCTGGAATGCCAGGTGCTGGTCCTCCTGGTATGCCTGGTATGCCAGGTGGTGGTCCTCCTGGTATGCCCGGTGCTGGTCAGCCTGGTATGCCCGGAACTGGTCCTCCTGGCATGCTTGGAGCAGGTCCACCCGGAATGCCTGGATTTCCTCAAGGACCTGGCATGCCAGGTGGTCCTTCCATGCAGTCTCGTCAGCCGCAACCTCAGCAGCGCCTCGATCCGAACATGATGCCAAGTGCGGTATGGAATTACATACAATAACAGCAACCTTAATAGGCCATTAATTCTGGAGTTCAGGTCGAAGTAATGGAGATAGACTCAGCCCAAGCTGGACAATTCCCTACAGGTTTGTTCTCAAGCTTAATGATGATACGGGCATAGTTTCCTCATTTGTATGAAATTGCTTCAGGGTACCCTCATGCGAATCCTCCTCCTCTTTCTTATACTACAGATTCTTCTTATAGCAGTCGATCAACGTGAGAAACCTCGTGTTAATAGTCTCTAGTGTATTGCCCTCCATGATTGACACGTTGGCGGCATATGACCGTCTTAGCTCCTGAATGCCTTTTTGCCTCTTATACTAGCCGTTTAGTGTTGAGCCAACGCGGCCGCAAATCCAACTTTCGCCCAAGTCAGCCTGAGATCCGTTAGACTATTCGTGCGTCTGCGTTCTCTAAATTAGCTGCCTAGACACATGAAGCTCATTGATAGAGCTTTTCTGCGAAATTTTTTTAGTCTTTTACTTTTGTCCTGCAATTAAGCTGGAGCTTCACAAAGAAGCCAGCCTAACGCGCAAACGCAAAACTATCCTGACAGTCGTTGAATCCTCCGGACCTGCGCCAGCCGTCAATGGTACTTTTGCTGCAGCGACAGCCGACAGCCGACCGCAACGGCCTCTCGCGTCCTCTTCCTCTCTGCGCTCTGCCCCGCAATAGCCCGCGCTCAGCTCAATCAGCTGATCCCCGCTATTTATTTTTTATTCAAGCTGTTATTCTGCTTCCTGAACGCCATCAAAAGCTGAGCGCGCTAAGTTTAGTATTATTACTCTAATTTTTATTCTATAAAATATTCTCGCCTTTATCTGCTCGTCTTTTTAGACTGTTTTAGGGCCGTGTTTTCGTCTATTTTTTTGTTTTCGCGTCCAGTCCTCTATTCATTCTTTGCAATCTTGACCAGCTTCAACATGACAATGTCGATGCATGCTGCTCCTTATTATCTGTCCGCAGGACTACTGTCATAGAAACCTCCCCGTTCACAAAGATTCAAAAAAATAAATAGTAATCTGCGAACAAAAATCAAAAAAAATAGACGAAACCACACTAAAACAGTCTAAATAGCGACATAAAGCGAAATATTTTATAGAACCTAAAATTAGAGTAAATAATACTAACTTACCTCACTTTTCTGGCGTTCAGGAAGCAGAATAACAGCTTGAATAAAAAATAAATAGCCGCCGGATCAGCCTGATTACGCGAGCGGCATTGCGGGCAGAGACGCAGTATATAAGAGCACGCTGAGAGCTGCCCTGCCCGCGCCTCGCTCGCGTCCACAAAATTACGCAATTTACGTCTGTGCCAGTACGACCGAGGATCTACGACCTCTCTACTTTATGCTATACCCATGTAATACATAATTAACTCTAAAAACGTAACCAGGCTAATTAAATGTTTTGCTAGCCTAATAAATTTAAATTACTTTTTACATATATAAATTAACATCTACCTTAACTATACTAGACTAGCGGAAGCTGGTTTGTTTAAACCAAAGCGAGCTCGGGACAAAGTAGTTGCTGCTTGAAATCGCCTTCGACACTGTTGTTCATGAAGGCGCGACCCAGCGCTCGAGAAAAATGTGCGCGGTCTCGAGAGGCGGACAGACGCGAGTCGCCCATCGTCAGCGTGTTGATTAATGTTCATTGATTTTTCTCTAAATTTTTGAAATAACATTCAGGAAACTGTTCTCCAAGGCTTATGAGATCCACAATGTATATGGCGCCCGCTTCGAATGATTTGCTTAAAACATCACAGATTCCATTTGCTGTGGCATGTTCACCGTTTGCAACCCTTCATCCACAGGAGGTTGGTGTTAATTATTTTCTACCAGTTTTCTTCGCTGCACCCCTTCCAATTCCCCTCACCCTTTCCCACCTCCATACTGCTAGAGGAAATTCTACCATCTCATCGCCGCCTAAAATCCTGGCTTCTCGTATTTCTCATCGTTCCATTCCAAATTTGCACTCCCTCCGTCGGGGAATCAAATCGTCAAGCTCATAGTGTACCAGTGTTTTTATCTACCAAAAAGGGTTGTTGTCAAATCAAAAACACTGAGTTACACCTACCGTTCATCGGCAGCGACACACAAAGTAAGCACTTTACAGAATAAAGTGATATATAGAGAGATTCTATAGTAGATTGGTCGTTCCTGCACAAGCTTTATGGTTTCTTTCCAGCGTCCCGCTCCCATCATTGATCTTGGACCAGGCGGACCTGTTCGCTGTCAGCGTTGTAAAGCGTATATGTGCCCTTTCATGGAATTCCAAGATGGTGGTCGTCGTTTCCGCTGTCCATTTTGTCATGCCTCTACTCCAGGTTGGTTTTTACTGTTGTTTGTTTCATATAATTTTCTTCCTATTTACATGTCGTTTACCATGAAAACCCAGCCCGTTTTGTACGGCATGTGGCACGAGAAAGGGGAGTCTTTTGGGTTTTCTATGATCTAGCTGTGTACTCTGACGCTGTCAACTCCTGTTTGAGCAGGAATTATAATCCTACAAACTCCTTTTTATGTTCGTGTTTGTGAGAGATACTGAGCTATCGCTGGAATTGAAAACAACCTTCTTAACCCTGATCTAGGGGAGACGGTAAAGAGGATCGTAATTCGCCGCACCGCCACGCGCGGCGATGGGTGCGGCGTTTTCATAACTCGTTTTAACCTGTTTAATGAAGCACCGAACTTCATGTAGACCCCG